AGAGTGCAGCGGCGTCATTCAAAAAGGCAAATGGATCAGTGTGGGCTGCTTTGTGTACCTAAGGAAGCAAAGTTGCAGATCAGTATCACACTTAAGATCAGACGCCACACCGCATTTGCATAATTACATCTTTCCACGCAGTCAAATTACCTCTGGTATTCTATACTTCGTTAGGAGTGACCTTTGGGGCTGCGGAGCCCCCTCTTGTTCATGCTGAGATTTCCACTGGACATGCTTCATCTTCAGGGCAGGAAAAATGCTGCTGTGGTGCTGGTGTGGAAGGGAGTGGAGTGTTTGATGTGGGCAGGGACGACCAGAGTCTCACCCATGCTCAGGAAGGGCTCCTGCTGCGTCATGCAACATCGGTGTGTGTGCGTGTGTGTGTGTGTGTGTGTAAGGGGGATGGTGGAATACTACATGTGAATGAAATGTTTTCATACAAAGTAATGCTAACATTAGCTCATAACGGCGCCCAGGACTCCATATGTGGCACAGGCATACTGACTGAATTATGACTAGTCTACAAACACTGACGCCTATGAAGGTATTTTGTCCTCGGAGGAGCTCTAAAGAGACCCAAAGACCTCTTCCAAGCAAAAAAGTGTCATTTTGGTAGCATTAGTTTACAGCTTGTACTTCATGCTCAAGCAAAGTTATCAGATGTTCAGATTGTAGCTTCGCAAAAAAGATTAGGTTGTCAGGAAGAAGAGCTGACATTCATTAGGGATGATTTTGGGAGTGGTACATAATTGTAGATAGAAACTTTGAAAAGTAATCCTGGTGATTGTTGATCAAATGACAAAAAACAAAGAGCTGCCACCAACCAACTGCTGCACAGCCCACTTTTTATTCACATCAACGCATGGAAAAAGAGACTGATGTGCATTTTCCATGAAGCAACCTTTCTGGGGTTAGCTTCGCATTTGCTTGGACAAAAACCCAACCATAGCTTGATACTAGTATGTGTGTGTGCAGTTGATCTCAGTATATAGGAACTACACAATTCCTTTCGGGATCAGTAAAAAAAATATTTAATTTAATTCAGGTAATTTCATATTGTATAAAGAAAGCAGTCGCAGTGTGCTTACTGTATCTCCTTAGTTGTAATTTTCTGAAGGTTTCTTTTAAGTCACTATGGCAGTGTGAGGAGAGGCGTCTTCTTTTATTGCTGCATTCAGTGCACACGACGCCCAGAAAGGAGGATGTTATGCAGGAGTTGTAGACATGAACTGTCAGATCAGGCCAGACCTCTGCTTGCACTTCATGTTCCTCACTAAACAAAGCCAGGGGTAGATGAGCTCGGCAACAGTTTGTCTCACTCTCTCCAATTAAGCTGATCTGTCCAGCACCATTTGACAGCACACCTCTGGCTGTCTCATTCCTCTGAGAGGTTGCATTACCTCTGAACTACACCAATTTCAACATTTCAAGCTGCCCATTTTCACTCGGCTTCTTGACAGGTTCGGAAGCACAGTGGAGTAGTTTTAAAAGAATTCACACCTGAATATCTGCTCTGTGATTTTTATTCTTTCAGATGGCAGCAGGACTGAAGATCTGAGGCCTGCTGAGTTCCAAACCTTTGCCCATCTAAGCCTTTAATGTTCCTATTAGGCTGACCAATGCAAAGCACGTTCTTTCATGAAATAAAGTTTAAAGCTTATTTAGTACACCCCGCAGACATCTGGAGGTTTAATGGTCCATTAGGTCTTAAACATAATGGCTGATGGATGACTTTAATTTGTACCAGGGAAATTACAATACTAATCTGAGACAAATTACCATGGCAAGTAAAATCAGAATAGAGATTTTATTTTCTTTTTAACTGACCCTCTAACACACTTTATCATTTTTCTTGTTTGCTAGATTCCCTGCAACACAATTTCCCAGTGACATAACAAGAGGGAGTAGAGACATGATAGAATTAATGAAGGCAAAAGCCACCAGTTAATGGAGAACATTTCTGAGTCACACTTGAGTTTCAGGCGTACTGCCGCAGGTCAATTTATGTTCTCATGGCTATTAAACTCTGTGTGGAAGGATGGATAGATGCACAAGCCTATGGACAACCAATTGTCTGGGAAAGTCCTAGTCCTGCTGATAATGGAGCATTTGGGAGCAAATTATTTAAGAACCTTTTGCCATTTTATTATGTTTGACTTTTACTGTCAAACGACTTTCTATGTTTGAGAAGTAAATAACTTAGATTTGGCTACCATGTCTTGTCTTTATTTTTCTTGTATATTGTTTTCAACCCATGTTGATTTATTTTACTCAACCCAAAGATTTTAAGTCTCTAGTGGGAATAACACCTTTTTCTGTTGTGCACAATAAACCATTACAATGTCCCATGCAATGTTTTGGCAGAGGTGGGTGTTACTCTTGTTAAAAAAGAGGGCTGTTAGAAATTCCACAAGAGGAAAGTTCAGTGTTTCCATTGTCACGACTGTAGGAAACAGAGAAGTGATGTGTTGAGAGGTTTCCAGAGTGCCAGCAGCATTCACAAGGCTTACTTCTAGTGTCGGAAAGTGTAGTTTTTACTATTCTAGAGAGTGTCACGTTTTGCCACCTCTCTGGGAGCAGATGTGGCCTGTTCCCAACATCCACCGTGGCTGTATGGAACGAACAGCTGTATTGTTTGTGGATAGAGTAATCTTCTCCAACCAGCTGGCTGGTGGCAGTTGTATTCCGTCACCTCTGGATATTTAGATTTGAAAGGATTGTGACTGGAGTTATTGTTTATGGCAACCCAATAACCATCCCAACTTTAAGCAGTAATATGGATTTCCCCACTGGCACCACTTGCACTACAAAATAAACAAACAAACAAATGAATAAGTATATGAATGAATGAATGATTACATATATATTTGGGTGTTTGGAATAACACCAAAATAGTAATGTAAAGCTCAGCCATCAACAATAATCCTGAATTATGGTCTATCGGTCTGTGGTATGAAAACAGTTTGGTGGTAAATAATCCCTGAGAGCAAAGTTTGTTTGAAATGATTCCCATGTGATCTCAGACTTTTGAACAGAGAACATAATGTTTTTATTCATGGCATTGGCTCACCACTAGCTACTCTTCCACATAAACAGGTTTTATTCTCTAAAAACATGTTTGAAATGAACTTTGCTTCATCTGATTCAAGAGTATCATTCAGTATAGAATATCTGTAGATACGATGATGCTTAATTGACTAACTATGTAGGAAAAGGCTCTATCTGACAGTCGCACACCGGGACACTGGCTTTAGGAAGACAGCCAATTGAACTAAAGAAATGCGTGACTGTGATCTTTATGCTCTTAAAGTCCTCTCCCTTAAATTAATGTGCATTTGTGACACCAAAACACGTTTTAAAGCCTAGCCTGTTTATGTGGATGCTAAAACTCAGACCACAGTGTGACTACACACAGTCAAAAACAGCTTACAAAATGCCATTGAATTAGTCGTCTCCTCAGAGGTTTTTAAATCTCAATGTTTGCTTTACTTAAAAAAATGATTTTCTGTTTTTCTCAGATTGAAATTAGATTAAATTTCCACTCAAAAGCGTGATAAAAAGAGACGTTTATCTCTGAACAAGCCTCTGGCTGTGCTTTAATCACCATCTGTGGTGGTGCTTATATAACCACTTTCCAGATTCTTGACCCAGCTGTCGTATTTACACCCCAACCTCTGACTTTCAGGTGGAAAAGACCTCATAGGTTCATGCATGTTCACATTATTGTCCATGCTGTATGTCTCCGGGATCTCGAGGGGTCCAGTGTGGTGTGGTTGTTTGCCACTGTGGAGTTCAAAGCCTCAAGGCCCTGGCCCTGGGCTAATGTTGCACAGCAGGTGCTCAGGGGAGGCCAGCCGTGGGCCTTGGGTAATTCTATCTCAGATGGGGATCTCTGAATGCCCCAGATAACTGAGTGGAGAGTCATTAGTCTTATATTGTTTAACAATATTTATCTAAGCAGGCTAACTTTTCATGTGTCTTGAAAATGGCTGTTAAAGGCCCATTTTAAACCTTTTCATTGTGCATAGATGATAAATTGTGTGTTATGAACTTATGAACTAAAATAAGGCAGTGTGATTTAAATGGTTGAAGACAGTAATGCTGAAAATGTTGCTACAGCTGTGCGAGTCCTCCAAATCTGTCATTTCTCTGTTGGTTTAACGAGTGCAGCTGAGAATATCGACTGTCATCAAACACACCGTAAGACAAGGTGCTGTTCCCGGCACCACTGATATTACCTTTGGGACTGCTGGATGATGGCACATGGCATACTAAAATGGGGTTTCAGAACTTGTTGTTTTATCACTACATATTCTCTATGAAAAACCAAAAACCAAATCTGCCATTTCTTTCACAGTTCTTAAAATGATGACTGCGCAGCTTTGACTTTGGGTGCTCTGAGGCAACGTACCTCAAATAGCACGGGAAAAGCAATCTCTTAAGCCACCGATCATTGTTGGCAGCACGTTTGTTTTGGATTCAAATCTCAATTTCTTTATAGCAGAAACAACTGTGTAATTTCACTGTTTTCAATATCCACCACCAAATTGATGCATGCCAGACTAACTGGGATGTCTACTTCTTAACTTTAACACATAAAATGGGGGACGTTTAAGTGCAGACATGGTTACACATTAAACCCTCGTGCACGTGTTATTTAGACTCTGTCCTCATTTGAAAGGATTTTTATGCTAATAAAACAACAGATGCCTAGTTCTCAGATTCATTATCAAAGTGTCGTCTCATTTGTCCTGAGTATGGCTAAGCAAAGTACAATATGTGTGGATCTGTTATAAATATTGAAAATGAAATGACTCACAGATCATTGCCGCAATCTGGTAAATTGTCCCGGAGGAGGGGCTGAGGGCATGGGAGTGAACAATAACTCCCTCTCCAGCAGGGAGTCCATCCCCTGGAAAGCACAAAGTACCTTCTAATCTAGCCGCTTAAACCCTGTTTCCTCAGCGATGTGAACTTTGTCTGTGAAAACCAAAGCATGCCTGATCATGATTATTCTTTGTTTTGTTTTTGTCACCCTGACAGCCGTCCCCTTCCCCCCAAGTCACCGACTGACAGCTAAAGAGGTGTTTGACAGCGACGGGAAGCCCAAAGTGGACGTGCTAAAAGCTCACCTGACCAAGGAGGGCCGTGTGGAGGAGTCGGTGGCCCTCAGACTCATAGGAGAGGGAGCCGCAATCCTGCGCGCAGAGAAAAACCTGCTGGACATCGAAGCCCCTGTGACAGGTCAGAAAACCAAAGACACAGTCACCTGAACATGGCTGAAACACTCAACTGGATGTTTTCTTAGACTTTGACCAAAGTATGTTCAGGTCTTATACTGAATTTAAGATGTTGGCATAGGCTTAATGAAATCCGAACCTGAATTATTAAAGGGATATAGTATTTACTGATGGGGTGCAGGTGTGGCCGGGATTGTCATCACGACCAGTACTTAAAAAACAAACACTTTTCCTTTTCTTTGCTCCTATTGGCTGAAGTTGAGCCCATTCTTTCCTGTTTCCTAAAGAACACATTAGGAGAGGGTTGCTTATGCATATGCACACATGCAGCACGCCTATTGTCTTCTCCCTGGTCAAGTGCGCCCTTCCTGCATTAGACTTTCTGATGAGGCTTCTTTGATGTTTTTGTAATCAGAGGCCGAGACCTACTTAGGAGATCTATGGCAACACATCAGTTTGCACAATATCATCCAGAGGGGTCTATGTTCTTATTTAGGAGGCATCGCACTCACATAAAATCAGAATGGACGGCCGTTATGTGTCTAGCTTCAAGTTGCCATGAGGGGCTCTGCTCGAACAAGCCTTAAGAGAGAGAAATGACATTTTGTGGCTGTGCACCAGCTCCACCAAAGAGTGCTTGTTTTCCAGTTGACTCTCAGCCCTCTAACACAGTGAGGCTGTGGCCTCTGTTTGTAAAAATTAATCACACATGCACTAGTGGGAAAAGTCGTGCTCCTAACCAGGCTCTTCTCTTTCACTTTGCCACAGCTCAAAGAAAAGGAGTTTTAAGACTGACTTTAACACCAAAATTTGGCTGGGCCTTAAAATGTAATGCTTGGTTTAGGGGAGATTTAATTACTGATTGATTGCCTAAAAACAAAATTTGATTTCCTGGCTGAACTCCATCTCATTTAAATCCTGACCTTCTGAGGAGCTTGATACGAGATGTCGTTGCAGTTCAAGTGGTGGTTCAGGCAGTAAACCTCCCTCCTTTGTTGTGTTACATAAAAACAGTGGACAGCTTCTGTTCTGCGTGCAGACCGTGGATCCCGAGGAGCAGGGTGTGCGTTTGTGTTCCTCCACTTGTGTGTATGAGCACAGCAATGAAGCACTTCTTTCCCTCCCACTCAACACCCCTGTCTCAACCCTCTCCCACTCATAAGTGTTTTTCAACAAGGATTTCTCTGCTGCGTGTGCTCATTCTTCCTTTAGTATTTCCCTCTCTCGCACGCGTCCAGGCTCACACGCAGTCTCTCCCAGTTCATCTTCCTGCCATGTTTTAACTTTCTGTACCGCACTCAGGGTCGATTTCTTTTCGCCTCCCGCTCTCTCTGTCAGCTAACTCCCATTTTCAGCACGCCACTCGGTCAGCAAATTAGTATGTAAATATTTATCATGGATGCAAAGCTGCGTGACATGTCAGCTATCTCTCTTTCTGCCTCTCCCACTCACACGTTCGCTTCCTTGTTGGGCCAGATGGCAGGTGGGGTTCTGATGTAGGGAGGGGTGTGACAAAGGGAGCTGGCTTCAGCTACTTGGTACAAGCTGCTACCATGGCCTTCACTCAACTAACCAATCAAAAGAGCTCCTATAACCATGTCACCAGGCAACAGCAAGCTTTTAGACTGCTTATGCATGTTTGCATGACACGAGATCCAATGAGAACAGGGTGTCTGTCATATGAAAACTCAGTTGTCATGTATCCAAGCAATGCTTTGACACCGCAGCACAGCTGAATATGAAATGCATCTTTACCCAGCTGTTGTTCGCTTTTCAGATCATTGGACTGTTTTTTTTTGTTTTTGTTTTTTAACTCTACAAATATGATCCAGAAGACCTTCTGGTTTTATTAACATTTTTCTCACTCTTTCTGTCGCAGTGGGAGAGCAATGGGCATATGTGTGAAATTTCCATGAGGTTTTCTAAAACCCTAAATGGGACAGATTTAGCTGTTTTTGATTTCGCTGGGGACCCGTGTACCCCCTCAAAAACAACTAATTAGATTTTGATGAGGATGACATTTTTATGAGCATCATATGAAGTGTGATTTCTCTGTGTGTGTGTGTGTGCAGCATTTCAAGGCTGTTCAATTCAAAGGTGCTTATGCAACAGATTTAGGAACAAATACACTTTAATGGACACTGCAGTCCTTAGCAAAAGTCCAATTTTGGTTTTTAGAAAAACCTCATGGAACTTTAAATTATATGACAACTTTAAAATGACAAACGGAAAACAATCTAAAAAATTACCAGTTCTTAAGACTGGTAAGAGCTCCGCGAAGTGCTCATTTCACTTTTAATTCTGCTAATAGCATGCTGTCAGGAGTCAAGTGTTGAACCAGGTTGGTGTTTGTGTGTTGCTGCTTCCATGGTAATTTGCATTTAAATAAATGTTACAGGTCTGGGAGCTTGGGTTTTGGTACATCTAGTGTCAGAGAAGCTGCTGGGTGGAGGCCACCGCAGAAGTCTTTGACAACAACTATACATTTTTCTCTTCTTGGGCCTGCTAGCTTACACCAACTTTTCAAAGCTCAGCCATAAATCAGGCTTTTAAATATTCATTGCTGCTGCTTCATAAGCGTTTCAGACAGACATATTGCTTCTTCCACCTGTGCTTTTGCATAAATGTGAGCTCTGGGGAATGAAGGCTGGCAAACAGAGTCACCATAAAACTGGGGGTTATACGATTATCACCAAGACTCAATCAAAACACAGTGCATCAGCATGGATTTCACTCACTCAAAGAGTCCAGCCTTTGGAGTGGCCTGTGTAGGTTCTGAAGCCAGCTTGTGTAATGCCCACCACCCACTCAATAGCTGCTGCCCGCTGATATGCTGCTACTCAGGGGGATCACTTTAACACACAAGCAGGAGATGGCCAGAACGAATTGTTTCTCACTCTAGATAATGTACTCCCACCTGCTCTTCTTATGTGGGCTTTGGATCTCACCTCATTTTTATGTGTTGTGTGACAAGAGGGAGGGAGGGAAGCATGCCTGTAGGTGTACTGGAACAGAGTGAAGGGTGGATTGTGTGCTTGCGGTGATAAAGCTGAGCCCCGAGCTGGAGGAGTAAGCCTTTGTTTCAGCTTGACTTGCATCGACCTGGGCTGTGCACGCTCGCTCCAATGCGCTGACTGCAATCCACAGTGACCGTCACATCGGGGTCTTTCAGCCAGTGATTGAACTGTCAGCGTCTCCTTGTCATCCTGCTGTCTCCCTCGCTAGCAAGTGATGGCTTTCCAAAAGGCCCACTGGAGGTGCAGTCCACCCACACAGTGTGTGATGTGTGCCTCAGGAACTCAATCACTCAATCAATGGACTCTTAAAACTTGCAGTGTGTCTTTGTGAAAGGTTTTAAAATGTCACCGTCATGGTGTGAATGTGAAAAACCGGACACACTCTCTTTGAGGTCATCCGGCTGAGGTGGTTCTCTGTTCCTTCTGTCATTGTGCTTTTACACAATAGTTGGATAACATTGTTCTCAGCAGTCGTGCACACACAGGTTCTTTATCAGGTAAGCAGCAGGTCAGGTTGGTGTTTTTTTCTTCTCCTTCATCTGTGATATAAGCTGCCATTGTTAAAAGGATTCAGTGCCATGGGGATGTTTCCATAGCAATAACCAGCCCTCACATTAAACATCCCTCCAGATCAAGCAGCATGATGCACAGAGGCTACCTAATTGTTTTGTCCTTTATTAATTGTCTGTTCATACTCTCTTGTATGATAATGCTCACAATAAGTAATTTCAGCTTTAAACTTCACATTTTGCTGCAGGTGATAATGATTTTTTTTAGTTCTAGCTCTACAGAAGAAGCCAGCTCTTTTTCTCTGGGTATTTACAACCAATCTTAAATGGACCGGCACTGAGTCTGTAGTAGACTTTGCTTGATTGCAAGAGAGAATGAGGACATCTTTAGAAATCAGAAACAAATAACAAGGTTCCTTTTTGAAGTCAGTCCCTGCTGTGGATTGAAGCAGTTATGCTGTGTGGGTTTAATAAAAGACGAATGGTAAAGCGGAGGTTTACGATACCGTCAAGGAGAGCAGATTCTCAGAGCTGTCTCACGAGGCTCATAACTTGAGATAATTGCTCTCCAACGCTGTCCTCCTGCTTCCACTAATTGGGTATTTCTGTGTCATATGTTCTTTGTCAGGTTCTTATTGTATTTCTTGCGCTAAGATGGTTCATAAAGCTTCAGGAAAAGCAAGTCTGTGTCCTTTTTCAAATTAGATTTTATTCAATTCACCCTTTTGTTAATGACTTATTTTGCCCATAATGTGTAGGCTGGATGAATGCAGGCGCAGTGCAGGCATGGAGGCATCGGACGTGGATTCCATCCTCCTCGTTGCTGTCAGGGGCCGAGTCGTCCGATAATGCTGATTGTTATCTGTGTGTTACTGCCTTATTACTGGTGCTGTGTGAGGAAGATAGCTTAAGTGTCCTGAAAACACTTCAGTAATCTAAATTCAGATCAAAGGAAAGAGGGGCTTGTCGTGTCAGTTTATTTAATAAACGGCAGTAACATTGTATCTGTGCAAATTTTCTCAGACAAGTCTACATTAGTTCACTGAACTTAAAACACTAGATTTTCATAAAAATAAAACATTTCTTTTGGTTTATTCTGTCTGATTTGTATTTCCTAACCACCTGACAAAACAGCAATATATGTGTTGTGAAAAGCAATATATTGCATGATATAAACTGTTATATTAAAAAGAACCACTGCAATGCTGAAAAAGTTGCTTTAGTGTCAGATTTCAACCCAGATCTGTGCGTCACAAAACAGAAATATTCAGTATAGTTAATTCTTGTTCCATAGACCGGCAGGCGGTTTTCTTTCTGTTTTTTGGGGAAAACTGCTGCAGTTTGGCTCTGACGATTTCGGGGGGGCTTCTGCTTCTTCATTCTGTCCCTCCATAATTAAAAGTTTAAGGCTGTGTGGAGGCTTTACCATCTGTTCCCAGACTCTCTGTTCATGGTATTGCTTAATCTGGTTCTTTCTGACTATGGGTTTGTGCTTGGGGACATTGTCGGCTACAGAGTGAAGTAGTGACTGAACAGATGTTGTAATGCACAGGTCTGATGGGTAAAGTAATTACCATTCTCTCCTTTTCTAGCTGCAGCAGAAAAACATGCTTCCAGGCAGCAGCATGGATGCTACGTTAACACTTCCCACAGTCGCAGCTTTCACTTAGTATTCAAATTTGTCATGACATCAGGATGAGTTGCCTAATTAATCTCAGAATCAAAAATGTTTTTCACATACCGCAGCTATCACATACTCTATTTTCAGAAGATATGTAGGCTTTCAGAAGAACACCACAAATGGAAAATCATCAATATTGCTCTAAAATGTGGTTATTAGAAGCCCATCTTATTCGTAGAATGAAATTATGTAAGCTGATAAAGTCAGGTGTTACAGACCCTAAAGCTGATCTTAATTTATCTAAAATACTTGACCATTAAATCAGACGATCTCAAATGCACCCTGCCAGTCAATGATGACTAAGCTGCTTTAGCCTCTGCGCCTCGTGTATCCCCAGGGAGTAATAGAGTATAGGATCTCCCAGTGTGATAGGAAACCAATCCAGGATGAATCACTTGTGGTTGCTCATTTTTAACCCAGATGTTTTCATCCACAGCTCCCCCGGCAGTTTTTAACGGCTGCCTTCTCTGCTATTGGTAACAATATGGACTTGACATAATAGATGATTAAACCATGTCTACAATGCAGTTAAATGAACACTAATCTGAACACTTTTCTGTTAGCACGAGGTTGGCGTATCATTGTCTGTTAGGTACCTGCATTTGTGGCCACACTCAACTGAACGGGACACGTTTAAAAATTGAATCAACTGATGGCTTTCCAGCAGTCTCAGCAAATGAAACTTTACTGTGTTTGGCATTAGCACAAAGTCTGGCTCACCAGTAGAAACATTTAGGAGGGTGTGGTCCATTGAAATGGACAAAAAGGCCAGTTCTCAAGTTTGACGTATATTAAAGTCCTGGTTTGTTGTAATCTTGTTAAAACCTTAAGTCCTAACAATTCTGACATTTAGTGCCTGCCATGGGGATTTAAAAGTAATTATAAGAGGTAGTGATTGCTCTCCAGTATATCATGTAGAGTTCATAGCACAGTCTCATGTATGTCTGTGTTCGTTATGTTCAGTGGGTAATGATCTGGAGTAAGCTGTAAAGATGCTAATGAGCAGCATTTTTGTATATGTGAACTTCTTTAAATGAAACAATTAAAGTTTGGGACTACTAAATGCTTAGATGTTAAAAATAAACAACACTCGCCTACTATCATTCTGTTGTTGTTTCATCTTTGCTGACACCCCGATGTGCTGTTGTCCTCTTTCTGTCACGTTCCAGTTTGTGGAGACATCCATGGGCAGTTCTTTGACCTGATGAAGCTGTTTGAAGTAGGAGGATCACCTGCATCCACGCGCTACCTTTTCCTGGGGGACTACGTTGACAGAGGGTATTTCAGTATTGAAGTGAGTTTGAGTATTTGTTTTTGTCCTCAAAGGGGAATATTTGAGTGGGACACATGGTGTGTGCTTAACAAAAGATGGATTATTAATAGCTGCTTTTTTTAGGACAGATTAAATTAGACTGCATGCATTGCAGAGGAAAAATGACTTTTGTGACTATTTCAAATGCAGCCTGGACAGTGGAGTGGAGTTGAATGAAGGTGCCAGTCTATGAGCTCTGATTTGGTGGTAAAGATGACTGGCTAACCAGGCCCTTTCTCTTTCTGTCCTTCTTTGTTTCAGTGTGTGCTGTATTTGTGGGCCTTGAAGATCCTTTACCCCAAAACACTGTTTTTGCTGCGTGGGAATCATGAATGTCGACATTTAACTGAGTATTTCACATTTAAGCAGGAATGTAAGTAATGCCCTTCAGTATTTGTTGCTTTGATTTAAAGCCTCTGAAGCTCTGAACAGAGCAGATGGAGATTTTTTCTCAGTAAAAAAAAAAAATTAAATAAAAAAGAAGCTGTTTATTATGTGTACCGTTCAGCCACTGACCTCAAAAGCTCACTTAAAAGTACCCCCGGCCTGGCTCAGGATTCAGATTCTTGATATTTATACTTGTCAGAACTGTTTCTTTTGGACTCAGGTAGGAAAAGTGAAAAAAACAGAACAAAGTACTGTGAAATTGTTCTGTTTTTAAAATATGTTTGGGAAGTTTTTTTGGCACTGTTGACTTTCCACTTTCCATCTCAGACTAGCACACTACCCCAATATAAGAGAGCAGCTCTGTTTGACTTGGCATGCTCTGTTTTCTCTGCCCTGTTTCCCCCACTGACAGGTAGAATTAAGTATTCAGAGAGGGTGTATGACGCATGTATGGATGCCTTTGACTGCCTTCCCCTGGCTGCCCTTATGAACCAGCAGTTTCTGTGTGTACACGGGGGACTATCTCCAGAAATCACAAATCTTGACGACATCAGGAAAGTATGTGTGTGATTTGACATCATTTTGTCACTAATCTTATAAAGCTACAGCCTGTTTTTTAAGAGTTAGTTAATGGTTTTTATTGAACATGTGGGCCTCCTGTCAGCTTTTTTAATTTTCTGTTGTCTGTCAAGCTAACAAAAAAAATAGTTTATATTTGCTTTATGTGCTGTGATTAGAGCACCATAGCTTGTAATGTATAAATATAATCTTTATAAGATGCTCAGAACATGGACAGGGGGATGAGATGAGAATGGTCTTCTCTCTGTGAAGTCGGGTCCAGCTTTCAAACTAACATAATAATTCCAAGTGGATTTTGTGTCTGTAATCAGAGGACACGCATAATAGAATTTCCTTTTCTCGAGTGTCTATCATGCTACCCATCCATGCTTTTGTTTAAGAGGGAGCTTAAAAGCAAAGCCATTAATGTGTAATGAAAGAATGGTGAACTGTTTTCGAGCCTTTTCATCTGTCTGTCTACTCAAAGATGAGTGCTGCCTTTGACACATCACCTGTGCCGTATACAGTTTGAAATCACCTCAGCAAGCATGATAGTAGTCTGTAATCATATTTGAAGTTTCACTTTAGCTGCAGTTGCCAACATAGTTCCCATATAAAGGTAGCAGCCTGTCATACAAACACTTCATGTCCACATTTCTTCCACAGCTAGACAGATTCAAGGAGCCTCCGGCATACGGGCCAATGTGCGATCTGCTCTGGTCCGATCCTCTGGAGGATTTTGGAAATGAGAAGAGCCAAGAGCACTTCACACACAACACAGTGCGAGGCTGCTCCTATTTCTACAGGTGGGGATTCTGTTAGCGTTCAAACGAATGTGAAGGCAGCCTTTTGGTTTTAGATTGGGTGGATTGAGTTTCGTATTGTGACCTAAATACCAAAAAACTCGGAAAGTGTGTGAAGCATGAGCAATAACAGAACACTTCTCCTCAATTGGGCTTGTGTTGGAACTGGCAATAAACAATCGCAAAAAGCACTGGGATTAAATTCATGTTAATCTCAAGAGTAGTCCAATTCACCAGCTGAAGTAAGGCAGCTCAGAGCTGGGAGCTAACCGGAACAAAAAAGAAAAAGAAAATGGTTAAAGGCAAAGAAAGAAGCAGGAAATGGAGCAGAAATGTCTTATTTTTGCAAAGAAGAGGAGACCAACACTGGTTAGTATGCCGTGTGTGTTTGAGGAATCTCAGAAGATCTTCTTGTCAGTACTTACATTACCATAAACTGAACCGAGTAACTGAACAGAGGAAATGCTTGAAGCAAGCAGCTTGCACTGTCACAAAGTGTAATGAACTGGCACGTTACCACAAGGCACGGTCCTGTGTCTAAACTCACTCAGCGCTCCCTCTGCTCATTATGGCCCGAGCCACGCTCACTTGGCCGCAGTGTGCCACAGGCAAGCCAGCCGGAGTTGACAAAAATGTCCAAAGGCTCCTAATTTGAATCTTGTCTTTTCATTGATGTGATTGCAGGTGTTTCATCGCTGCTTTCTTAATCGTATTTTAATGTCTGTACTTAGTAAATGGTTTCTTTTACCATTTTGAGTTGTTGTGACTTTGAGCGGCCTAACTATCTCCCTTCATTCTAAATGAGGCGTTACGTCGCAGATCCACAAGTGGCTCTGTGTTTGAAGAATGTTAGCCGGCAGTGTTTTCATTGAAATGATCTGAGACAAGGGGGAAATGCTAGGTATGTAGCCTTTTTACCTCAAACAACTTCCCTGAATGTCAAACATGTGAGTCGTACCCTCTTTGCAGTTAACCCTCTGTCATTTGGTCAAAATTCCTCTGGAGTCCTGCTTTCATCAGCGTCCAACTCTTCATCTGCCCAGGGGATGGTCGCTAATTGGCTTCACACTGGTTTTCAGGATTTATGAGACAGTTTCAGCCAGACGCAGAGAGGGAGCCTTTCTCTACTCCCCTCCTCAGAACCCATCAGCTTCTTTTGTAGCTTCTGTCCATTTCCCCAAACGCCACAGGCTTGCTCGTAACACTTTTACAAACGTAATTCAGGCATGAAATTGCACATGCTTCAAATATGGCGGCTTTTATTGTTGCCTCCACACAGAATTATAGATGGTTCGGCCTAAAGTGATTTTTTTTCTCTCTTTTTTTAAGCATCTTTTATTCATGGTTTCTAATGTCAGATATTGATGTAGAACTACTTTAAAGCTTCAGCATTAAAATGAAACACATTCCACCTGAACAAATTACTCAAACAACTCCTCCTGCTGTCCCATGAGCACATTAACATCTGTGTCCTGTTGTTGGACAAGTGGTAAATAGAACTGAACTCTGATTATATTTTTGTCCATCCAGTAGCACCATATGGCGCGTGTCTGCAACGGCTGCAGAGGATAAGCGCAAAATATAGCAATATTTTCTCGTTCCTCAGCCTCTATAAAGAAAGCATTGCATTGCAATCCCTGTTGGGGATTTTGCTTCACATCTCTTCCAGCAGATGTTTGTTGAAATTGTTAAGAACCCATGTGTTCTCATGTCCACATGGACCTGGATTTATGGTAAACCTTACTTACTCTATCACAGATTAACCTCTCTGCCAGGTGTCATGGCACAGCAATGAATACAAATATTTCCTAATGAGTCACTCCCTAAAGGATAATACATTAAGATATATTGTAGCATCTCTTAATGCTACAGCTGTAGTCTTTTAATATTAAATGTTAATAAACCACAGTAATGTCTCTGTACAGTTGTTGTATGAAGTTGTTTTAAGGCAGGATTTGTCTTGCTGCAGATGGGGAAGAAAATGTATCGTTTTGAGTTTTAATTGCATTGTGTGGGCATTCATTGTTGTTCTCTGTTATTGCAGGGGTTTTGAGCTTGGATTACAGAACTTACTGTCGGGGATGTTTATAGATGGTATAGGGATGTTTTAGATATTTCTACTTAATATCACCGACACAAACTAGAGAGGCAATCCCAAAGAGAATTCATACCTTCAAGGGGACAGATTTTCTAGTGACTGAAAAATAGCAGTGAGAAACTTTGGACCTTACCTGAAATAATGGAGATGCCCACATTTGATTAATATCCTGCCTGCATCATGGAAGGCTGTAAAGTCTCTGGTGCTGCAAAAGCTGTTCAGTAACTATTACTGTATATTCATTAGAGAAAAAAAGCTAAAAGCAAAATGAGGGAAAACAACAGGAATAATAATAGCATTTAGCTCCTGCTTTATGAGAACAGAAAACCTCCCACCTTCAAGTGTTTCTAGCAGCAGTGTCACTCTGTCATTGGGATCTGCTGCTGCTTACTTTTTCATTAAAAAGCATATCGCAATTCACAAATCCAGACATCCACAGGGGTTTGGATGTATGTAAGTAAAGCGATTTTTAAGTTCTGTTATGATCACATCAGGAATCCAAAATAGTGTTTCCCAGTTTCTCTCCATGCTGTTTCCACTGTGAGGAAACATCTAATTCATCTGAAAGCTTTTGGTCTCACCACTCCGTGGCTGAATAGATCAGCAGGAGCACAAAACTTGCTCTCACTCTGACCGGTAGCAGCTCTTTTGTTCTTCTTTGAGTCTGATCATGTCATACTCAACATTTTCAGTCCCATTCAAAGACAAAGTCGTGACATTTTACATAGATCTCATCTCCTGGCCCATTCTGGAGCTCATTCAAAAGTGAAGTGTTTTATTAGATGATAGAGGAAGATGATTTTACTGAGGAAAACTGTAATCCAGTAAAAATCTTCATTCTTGCTTGTGTTTTTGTCTGAGCTGCAGTAGACATGTTGCTCAAACTAGTTGTTTGCGCTCTGTTACATAGAGCACAATCAATAACACCTTTGGCTTATTTAGTTTTTTCTATTGATTGTACTTCTTGAGCTTACTTGGATTTTTCTTGATGTATTGGTAAACTAAATGTCTCTTTATTCAACAGCTACCCTGCAGTCTGTGACTTTCTACAACACAATAACTTATTATCTATCATCCGGGCCCATGAAGCACAGGATGCTGGGTGAGTATTGTGGCATTTTGTCTTCTCTCATCAGACTGTGACACAGCTGTGGTTCAGAACCTGCTTTTTGTTTTTCAATGAAAAGCTTCCTTTGAATCAGAGGTATTTCCTAAGCATGCTGGAACCAGATTTGGCGGTGTCAACTCTGAGAACGACACTGGTAACCAGGGAAATGAAAAATGAAATTCTGGTGTTGTGAGTGAACCAGATGTGAAGCACAGCCACCCAACAAAAGGTAGACAGCATGCGGTTCACTTAGCATTTCAGGACAGAGCAATGGAAAAGCTCTTTTAAAAGTTTGCTTTCTGAAATGGGCAGTTGGTTGGATGTGCTGAGCTGATTTTCCTCTGAGCGAGGGACAGGCAGTGGGAGGCATTGCAGAAAAGTTGTTTACCAATGCACTCCCACAGCGTGCTCACATGGGACACCTTGCCACATCTCGGATGAGATAGTGTCCCCAAGGTGCCTCTGACCACACGTGAAATCACATAACTGGGCTCTATTTATGTCCAGGAAATAAATTAGAAAGGTAAGCAGGAGATGATCCAGATGTAAAAACAAACCACAGCCATTTACCATTAACACAGAGGGTGGGAGTTTCACACTGGTTTGGAGCAGTGTGATGTCAGCCCATGGGCTTGCTTTCTCTGTAACAAGGGGATTTGCTCTCCTGACAATGTACCCAGGTGTCCTTATCGCTCAAGCATCTGCTTGACACAAACACAAGCAAAGTGAAAACAAGGGGCCTTAAAAACAATCTCTCTTGTGTTTTTGTTTTTGCATTTCCCAGATACCGCATGTACAGAAAGAGTCAGACCACTGGCTTCCCATCCCTTATCACCATCTTTTCAGCACCTAACTATCTAGATGTCTACAACAACAAAGGTAAGAAGAGCAGGCATTTATGTGTACTGCAATTCAGTCCAGGACCAACTGATACGCCACAGCAGAGTGTATCGTATCGTGTTGTTTTGTACAGTGTCAGTCTGCTGTGGCTCGTAGCACAGCTACTACAGTGTCGTGTTCAGCAGACCTCAGGAACACTTTGAGTTGGAGAGCTGTCAGTCTCAGGTTTGAGAAAAATGGAAGGACAGCATTTAAACTTCTCTAATTGCTTTTCTGCTGGCTTCTGAAAATCCCTGCTGTTTGTATGCAACACCCAGCAGACGTGTGTTGTCAGCACAGTCCAAGAAAAAGTATTCTCTTGTTTTAATGTTGTAAAAATTATGAAAATTTGTGTTTATTTTGCCCATTACAGACATCAAAGACATTTTTAGTGCTTGATCAGAGAAGCATTTGTTATAAGTGTGGCCATGGGGGATGAGGAAAAGGTAAGGCGGCCATTTGGATCTGGCAAGAATCACATTTATACGCATGTGTCTCAGTATTCCAGAGCAAAACAACTTCATATTCACAGACGGTTTTGTAACATGGATCCACTGGGGGAGGGAGCTTGTGTGAGATGAAGTGGCCCAGTGCCGGTTTACTTGGCACCTGGTGGAGCCCTATGCTGTGCTGCTGCACCCTTGCACCAAGACAGGCTTGCCTTTGTGCTTGTGAGTCAGCACTTTTTCCCCGCAGAACAGACAGGAACTGCTTTAACTGTGGGGGCATAGTTGGAATGGAGGTGGCAGTGGGCAAAGCACAGGAAATGGAAATGGGAAGGAAAGAGTGATGGTGCTTGGGTCTGCTGTTTTGCAATCCCTCTGAATGATGAAATTCTGTCATGCTGCACAGTTGCTGGTGTGAGGACGCCACACAAATGAGAAGGGGACGTCCCCATCATTTTTTTGTTTTCCCCAGGCTCATTTACAGTTGGGCTGTTTTTCATGTAAGTTGAGCTTACATTTGTTTACTCTTTTCATGAGTCGACTGATGGAAAGAGCGTGGCAATGTGCCTGTCTGAATTGTTGTTATTATTAGGTAACCTGTTTGTTCCATGCGAACTAATCTTCCTATGGCTCCCAGTCAACACAAGACAATATAAACAAAGTGCTATCAAGCACAGTTTTAGCTCTTGCTAGCAGTGTGTTGGAAAATCAATTGTGCCGCTCACGCTCAGCATGGAAAAGTCAAAATATCTAGAGTAATATGTCTGCGTCTATCCTATCAGTAAGATGGGCCAGATGCAGACATTATTGTGTTTGACTTTATTTGGGCACAAATATCTATCTTACTGTGCAAGTGCACAGGCTTCTTATGTCCTCATTCACTTGTCTGAAAACCTTTTCTATCTCGCTTAATCAGTTTTTTGATGACAAGATCTCTTACTTAAAATACAAATATAAAAGCACCCAAAGAGTGCAGTTCCTGGACAAATCAACATCCCTCGAGCTAAAGTCTGCCAAAGATTTTATGTTCAAGCTTTTAGAGCTTCAATAAATTACTTTGCTCCCAATTCACTTTATCAATTATTTACTAGACTCTGCTTGATGGATTTTCTCCCCTCTCACAGTTATACAATTTCATGGATTAGCCACAGCTAACCAGAACAGTCCTATCAGTGCCTTTGATGTCATGTAGGTGGGGTCTGTTGGTGGAACCGAAGCCGCTGTAATGAATCCCTCTGCTCTTGGCTTCATGCTGTTACTCCAAGCCCACTGAGCAACGCCCCTGTGATTGATGGCCAGTCAAGTGGGCAAATAAATCTTCAAAGGAAGGGAGGAGGCATCAGCAGTTTCTATCAATCCTAAACTGGGAGTTGCCCAGATTGGCCAATGAGTTATCTCCACGTGGGAGGAAAAAGTAATGAGCGGTGCACCTCCCATCAATGATGAGGAGGAGGAAGCAAATAGAACTTTTTGCTGATTCAGAATAATCAACGCAGGAATGATGCTGAAGATGGAATTCTCCGAAGCCTGGTTTCAAAATGCCACCCAGTCCTCCTACTCCTTTGCAGGCAAACTGTTGGGTCTGCAGTTAAGTGGCAGGCGTTGACCAGCTGCCCATCATGGCGGTGACCCCTACACCCCGTCATTGAAGCTGAAAAGTAGGACAGACTCTTGTTATCCGGCAAAGGAGGCTGTGCTTTAATGGAAAAACAACAGCAGTGATTTTGCAGTTTTCACTGTTTGATCCTCCTCAGTCTGAGTCCTGAAATGACTGCCGTGGAGAGGGAGGGAGATGGAGGAGGATTAGGGTGCAGTTGCGGCTTTTATATTAAAATAATGTTTTATGCTGCTTCCTTATTGACCAGTCCTGAAACTCAGCAAAGAATCCTGATGGTTATTTTGCTTGGATGGAATGTAGAAAACAATGTTAGGAGGGTGACAAATTGTTTTATCGTAGACCACTTAAGGTCCTTTTTTTGTGGTATTGTTCAGTCATGAGGTAGAAACCAGAATGGAGTGATGGAGTGGAAGCCTGAATGAATAAAAAGGAAGAACTGGATTCCAAGTGAAAGGATCGCTATCACTTTATGCTCTTATTTCCTTTCTGGACTGAAATGGAGTGGGATGATTGGCTCCAGGTTTTGCCTCTGGAATACATCGCAGAATGGAGGCTAGGGCAATGGTGATGCCAGCACAGCAGGGAATTCATTTCTCCATTTTTGTTTCCTGTGCCAGGAACAGGAGTATCCCATCCTGCAGATGCCCATCCATCTGCTATCACCCTGGTCTTTACTGGGCTTCCCTTTACTTTTCTAACACTGTTCAGCTTCAAAACTGTTCACGCTGTTTGAAAAATAAAATGTTATGCAGGACAGATTTGAGTGCATAGGTCATCAACCACTCCTTTAAGTCCATCATTCTATTTCCAAGAATATAGAACATGGGTTAGATGATACTTTGAAATATATGCAAACATAAATGGAAACAAGGCTTGAAAAAGTTTGTAACAGCTTGTAAGTCAATATTTGTTTATTTATTCTAACACAGTCTGGACCCACTTGAGACAGATTCACATGTATACAGCTCCATCATTGCTCATCCACTTTGAATGGAGAAACATCTTTTATTTTCAAATTGAATTCAGCATCCATTTGGAAAAGGAAATTTGAGAGGTCTGGTGGGAAGAGGAGAACATTCAGATTTTGTGAAAGAACAGAGGAGGCGCCAAACAATAAGATTGTCCTTCTAATTGTTTGTCTGATCTCATGAATGATAGTTGCTACAATTAAAGCATCAGCCCCACCCAACATTCAATCATTTTATCCATGGGAATCCGGCCTAATTTATTTAAGTAGTCTCCAGAACTAGTTTTCCAGGCTCCTCAAAGGACTTTTTAAAGCTCTTTTTTAATATTCACTGTTTCTTCTGTTATCTGTATAAATGATCCCACACTGCTTTGGGATCAGGAGAGGATTCATGCTCTCTTCAGAGCTAGTTTCAGTTAAGTTTTTGGGTCATTTCGCATAACTCAGCCTCAAGAATATTATTTTTAATGTTTTTTATCCACTGTACATAGTTTTAGGTCTATGTAAGTCTTTTTCACAGCATTCATTTTCTTTTATCTACAAGGTTTGCCATATTTGTCTTATAGGTATAACTGTAATGTTGGGGTAACTTGTTTGAAGCCAGCAGACGTAAAAGTACGATTGGTACTTTCAATAAGAAATAGCATTCAGGTAGAATTGCAAATGTTTAAGTAATTTCACAGCCAGAGATGAGCAGCTTTTACAGCTTCATGGACCACATTCCATCCCCACCATCCACACATCTGCTGTCATCAAGGAGTGGAGTACTGAACTGAATTAACCAACGGGGTCTGGCTCGGAATATTAACCAAGTGGAACTTTATACCAGTGGCATTAGAGACAGCTGTGCCGTCAGCATTCAGTGTTGGGGAAAGACAGTGGGAATCTCCCTGTGGTCTCAAAGCAGATTTAACTGTCCTTGTTACTGGGGAAACCGGCAGCAGGCACTCCCTTATGAATATTTAATGAGCGGGTGTCTTCTTGCAGTCTCTGTGTGAGCATTGCAGCAGGTTGGGCTGCGGTGTCAACCACCGGTGCAGCAGAGACCTCTAGTGGCTGTCATGCAGCGGTCTGGTTTTACAGAAGCCACGTTCTTCTGCACAAGAAAAAACTTTGTTTCTCTGTTATAAGAGATCTCAATACAATAGAAGAACCAAGTACTGCTCATTCTCCCTCATGCTCATGCTCAGTGAAGTGTTCTAAAAAGTAAGAGGCCTTGAACTTCTCACAGCCAGAGCTCAGCATGAATGTGTTTGCTTTACACCAGGGAGGTAGCCGGGTGTCTCTGTTCCTTTAAAGGGAATCTGATTTAAAGGAGCAACAGCAGGGGAGCTGACCTTCTCCCCCGCTCTGCCTTTTCCCTCTGGGCTTCAATGGCTGCATTCAATCAAGCGCCACAACGATGTTTAAGCAGTGTGTGATGTTTATGCAATGGCTGCCCACGTGTTCGATTGCTTTTATGCACACCAACGCACACAGATCAACACCCACCGTTCCATCAGAGTGAAGTATGTCAGAGTAAGGCAGTTTCGCCGATATTGATAATAATGCCACATCAATTAGATAGTGTCAATGCTCTGATTTCAAGTTCTCTGTATCAGAGGATGTGTGTGTGGAGGGAACCAGGGGATGATAGCAGTGGAATGTCATGCCTTCTGTACTTCGGGCATGAATTTGCATGGTAACTGCACTATGTGTGTTACCATGCCTCGCTCTTTTCTCTGAAACACTTGGGCATGCACACATTGAGGCAAATTTTGGCAAATTGTGGCCTGATTTGTTTGTTGCACCAGAGCATCTAGCTGCCTGGAATCTAGGTTAGATGGTTAGCTATTACTGAGCATGAGGCAGGAAAGTCCCCCATGGTGACCCAGCAATGGTGTCCGCTTTCCTCAGACTGGCCTTGTGTATTAGAAAAGCAGAGGCTTCTATTTACAGCAGGGATATATTTATGTTTGGCAGCTCTCATATTTGCCTCTACGCCCACGTTCACACTGTGCCCCTAATCATGGGTGAGGAGGTCATATGGGGCATACCACGGTCAGTGTTTGGGAGGAGGTTTCTATGTGCACAGACAACATGTGATCATTATCTTTTCTTTGACTGAATGTGCTGGAGAATGAGCTGAATATGGCTGATCCAGTGCATGAGCAGTGGCAGCTGTCACTGCAGTTGTTTTCCGTATCTGGAAAATCTGCTGCTGTCAGACAGACTTGTAGCTTAGTTGTTGGGATGCACACCAGCTGAACCACACCCACCAGAACCTGTCCTGTTACATGATTAACTAAACTTTCTGCATGATTCTTTTTTTTTTTTTCTGGTTGATTTTTGTGTAAATGTAAAAACATTTGTGAGGGAAATATTATATTATTAGTTAGTTAGTTAGTTGGCTTTTTTCCTCCTAAACATTGGTTACCTTCATTCCTGATCTTCTGCAGTTTCTTGCTGACATTGATTTTAAAAACTCAAGTTGTAATTTTGTATTTGTATTAGTCAGACTGTGAGAGTGACGAGCGTGGTGTGAAAAGCTCTGCCTTTGGGTCTCTGTGTAGGTAGATCTGGACTGAGCCATCTCATTGGCTGTCATCACCAGAGGTTGACTGACAGGATCTTGTGTTGCCTTCAGGAATACGCGTTGGTGGGGATGACAGTTTTTACTGCTTTACTCTTCTCTATCTCAACTGTTTTACTGTAGTAATCATTTGGCTTGTGACCACACACATCTGTAGTTAACACATCACTAACAACAAAAGATCAACTCCAGGAAAAAGGGACTTTTAAGGATCATTAAGGGATTTTATGGAAAGTAACTTATATTTTTGTCCTATGTTTTTTTATCATTTCATTGGTGGATCAACCAGTCTTTGAATGTTCTGTTTGTTTTCTCCTCTGTTTCCCTTGGAGTATTTAGCATGAGACTCTCCTCAGAGTGGCAGCATGTCGGCTGGCTTCTGTGGTGTATATGGCCAATAATGAGGATTTCTTTCTCACACTCCACAGCGGCAGTGCTGAAGTACGAGAACAACGTTATGAACATCCGACAGTTCAACTGCTCTCCTCACCCTTACTGGCTGCCCAACTTCATGGACGTTTTCACCTGGTCCCTGCCCTTTGTGGGCGAGAAGGGTGAGCCGGCAGACACACATCAAAGGAAAACACTGAGTTCATGGCAGCCCATGGAAAGCGCTCAGTGCTGCACAGCAGCCTACGCTTTGTCAGAAAAAGGGACGCACCTGAGCAAGAACTTATCATTTCTATTGAACGATTCACAGTCCTGTTGTGACAGACTCAAGAAGACACAAACTAAATATATGCAGAGATCTATACTGCTAATTGCATCCAAAACAGCTGAACAAATCTGTCCAGCAGGGACACCTCATTGTTGATAGCTATAGGTGACACACTCATTGCAGGAAGACCAGTTTAGTTGGGACCCCTATGAACCGGGATACGATGAACCCTCTCCTGACCAGCGAGTGTGACTAGCAGCTCAGCACCTTGCTCAGACACATTTACTTTATTCATGCTCAGATTCTGATTGTCTTTTCTTTTCTCCACAGTGACTGAGATGCTGGTGAACGTGTTGAGCATTTGTTCCAATGACGAGCTGACAACCGATGAGGAGCTGGACGGTGAGCCCTGCAGCTGCTCATTTTCCCTGTAGTTAGCCTCAGGTCCTCTAGAGGGAAACCTCTTTCCATTCATTATTTTGAAACTTTTGAGGCCCACACAAAGATGAAGTCTGTTTGGATCATGCAGCTATCAGAACATTCCGTTTGCCATTCAGCAGAATAGATTAGAATTCAACAAACAATTGTAAATAGTTCTACAATCAGTAAATCCCCTTTAAGGCTTTGATCGGGTCAAGATGCCTGTTTTCTTTTTACCACTTATTCAACGTTCTGATCATGTACCAGTAACGGGCCTGGTGATTTTTGGTTATCCGTGCAGATGACCAGTTTTCTTCGCCCTGCTCCAGCACTTATTGCCAAACAGGAAATGATCTCACCATTCCTTCCCCTCCCACTCAGAGTTTGACTCTCTCACACACGGGTGGGGCTACAGGATGTTGGCAGATCTCAACCACATTTGAAATGGTTTCGGTATTTTAATTTAAAATGTTCAGTCTTTAAAGGGTCAGGAAAAATTGATTCAGGTCAAGTTGGACGGAAACAAGTTTTGTATTTGGATTCTAACAACTAGGTTTGTGGGAGGTGCAGGTGATTTTAGATTTTCAATACTTATTTCCAATTTGAAAAGGGAAAAAAAAGTATGGATTTGACATCTGCAGAGGTCCAAAACAAAAACATTTCTCAGACTATTAGCAGTCCTTTCACATTTCATCAGCTCATTTTCCCAGTTTGAGCCGATATTCTCTTACCTCGCCTCTCTTTCTGTCCTTGTGAGCTCTTTTTCCTCTTAGCTTTATAAGCCATCTTCATTCCACTGTTATTTTCTATTTTATTAGTTTTTTGAGCTGATACTTTACTCATTTTATACTTTCTCTCTCTTACTCATGATCTCTTTACCATTTATTATTTCTATGGTTTCCAGTTGCTATTCCTTCAACATTTCCAGCCTCACCATATTTTCACATCATCCTTCTGACATCTTTCTCTCTATTTTCTCTCTATCAGTCTCTGTCTCTTGCTATAACATAGTAATTTCATTGGTTTGCTCATCTAATTTCTGTTTTTGTTATGTTTTGCAGAGTTTTGCACTCAAGGCATCGCTTTTCTTTACACTTGTTGTGCTCTGTCACCTCTTTATGTCGCATTCCTCTCCTCCACATCGTCTCTCATTCAGCAGCCATCCACTGATCTCTCTGTCCTTTCTCTTGTCTTCTCTTCTGGGGGTGTTTCATAAGAAGGACAGCTAATATATCCCCCCAAAAAAGGTACAAACACTAGCTGTACTGAAGTGTGCAGCAGTAGCTAGACTTTTGCTTGCTGCCTGCCTTTCAGAATTCTGAAAACTAACATCACTGTAAAAAGCACCTTTGAACTGGGACTTTTTGTTCGTAATCAAACTGGAACACGTCAGTAGTGTTACAGCTGCAAACGCCAATCAGAGAAAAGCTGAAATGCAACAAAAAACTTGAATATGGCATTTGTTCATTTACAGTATTTATATGAGCATGGTTTCTACATTGAGCAATCTATTTGCTAATTTGAGGTCCCCTTAGGGTGTCAGATGTAAAAAGGATTGGGTATGAAAGGAGATTCGACCAAAGGAGAATCTCACTATGGCTCACCACTCCCGATTTATGTACAGTTTCTAATAACAATGTCCTTTGATCACAGAAAACCCTGAAGAACATGTATTTAGGTTTGTGTGTGTTGAGTTAAGGTACAAATGAACAAACAATTTTCGTATTAAAGTTCTTGTTGCATTTTGGAACAAACCAACTTTTCTTAAAATAGGGTTTGCACATGCTGTTGCTTTTGCAAGGTTTGTAAGGCATTAAACAGCTATTCTTATTACCCGGATGAGAGTAGAGTAAAAAAATGTAATAGGAGTATAATAGGAGCAGTTTTAGAGAAGGCATCAGACCACCATCTCTACTTTACACCACACATTTCGCAATTTCCATAATTCATTCTGCAGCATTTTCCAGGCTGAGTCCCTGGAGCCTTAAAACCATTTTTACAACAACAAAAAAATCGTAAGTTTTCTTTTCCAGACCAGGAAAACTCATGTTTGAGTCTCCACAACCAAAACGCAGCGTAGGAAAATTCAGAGCGTGGGATCAGACGTGTTTGGATAAGGGCCATGTACAGGAGATGTACGCTAACACGTTTAGGTGTTTGAGCGCTGCTGGGGAAGGTACGGCCTAAGAGGGACTGCCGCAGCTTCATACTGTCATTGACAAAAGCTACAGAGGCAGCATGTACGCACGGAATGCTGAGAGTTACGCCGATGTGGTGCAAACTTTTTCTGTAATCTGGACTTGGTACTGAAATAACCTCATTTTGTTTGTATTGTGTTGCACTTCTGGCTCAAACTAATAGTCAAACATATTGTGTCTCAAATATTAAATCTGATGATTTAGAGAAGCATTTAAATGCTGTAACAAACACAAAGTCAGAAAAATCTCTGTTAAAACAATGTTTAATTTACTTCAGGATTAAAAATGCAAAGGAAAACACTGACAGTTTTTCCAATGTCCAATTCCCTCAGGTGCCACAGCTTCAGCCCGTAAAGAAGTAATCCGCAACAAGATCCGTGCCATTGGAAAGATGGCCCGGGTATTCTCTGTGCTCAGGTACGCTGACTTGGAAAATCTCAGGTTTATCTTTGTTGTCTTTTCAGAGCCTTCGATCACTCATTTCAGTCAAATGTCACCAAACACTTCTTACTCGTTCCGAATTAAGGGAGGTTTATTGAAACCTCTTGATTTAGCTCACTGTGCAGTTATGCAACCGATTTATTTATTTCTTTATTTTTCCCATTACAAATAGTGTAATTTGTCTGATTCCAACGCCCTCTACTGGACAAAAAAAAAGTGAATTTTAGTTTGGTTCCTAACTGGATGTCCATATTTATTTCTAAGTAGTTTGAAAAGTTATTTGGATTGTAAACCAAGTTGTTCAAGTGGTAGTAAACTGCAACAGCTTTTTTAAATATGAAATTTCAGGTTTTCATAGAAAACATTAATGCAAGGCGCTTTTTTTGTCTTTTGCTTTTTTTTATGATAAAAAAAGCAACGTAACACGACTGAAAACACGACTAAATAAGAAATATCTCTTTCGTTGAAGGACTCCCTTCTCATCTATGTATCCTAGTAAAATGACAGAGAAAATTCAGTTAGATGATGTCAGTGTAACTCAATGAAAAGTTGGAGAAGTTGAAATTTTCGTACCAAAAGCAGAACCAAGACCAATAACGCTGCAGCTCATCGAAGTCTTTGATCATGAGCCTGTTTTTTTGGTTCTGCTCCCGTCCCCTCTTCTCTCTGCCTGCTCTTTAACTGTGACTCTGTTTGTGTGTCAGAGAGGAAAGTGAGAGCGTGCTGACCCTGAAGGGACTGACCCCGACAGGCATGCTACCAAGTGGAGTTCTGTCCGGTGGCAAAGAGAAGCTGCAGAATGGTAAGACTGTTACAAAGAGCTTCAGGAACCCCACCCACAGCCTCCAGGATGGATTCTCATACATGCAAACATTTCTTTTACAAAGTGAACCCCGAAGACAATGCTAACACTGTCTGAAAGATAGTCTATGTACAAACTCCTGGAATATCCTATATGTGTAGTTTAATCCTTCTAACAAAATGCAGCTGCTCTATGTGGATTTTTTAGCTTTTATGTAGTTTTGTTTCTAGTTCAATGCAACCTTCCCCAACAACATCGTGTAGATTTCCTTCTGCTCTTTGTCTTCTTCAGTGTGTCTATCGTTAAAACTCTGTCTTCTGGTCCTGTTTCCTGTATTCCACTGGTTTGATCTTAAATATTACTTATGTCTTTTTCTTTCTCCTTTCTCCCTAGAAACTGCAGGTATTATCGGTTGTGCAAGTACTCTGTTGTGTTATCTTTTTGTTTTTGTGGGACAAGTTTAGAGTTCAGTTCATCCTCACAATTCCAAACACTCCCTCAGCGAGTTTGACAAGCTGCTGCAGCTCAGGACTAAAAGGCTTTCTATAATCGCCTTTAGGAGTGCTTCAAATTGAGTCCGACCCCTGACAGAATGTCATTGTGGAGATTTAGAGAGTTAGTTGGGAATCTCAGCATTGTTCTGTCAACTTAGATGTTACTCAGAGGTCGAATTGGAACTGAAACAAACAACTCAGTGCAAGTAGAATAGCTGCTGTCTGCCTTGTCATTCCCGAAATAAAGCAGAAATCCGGACTACTTCCCTCTCCTCTCACGGGTTCTCACAGCTAGCACTTTCCTAACACCAGCATATTTCATACTCTACTCTAAAGTGAGTTTGCAGCATAAGTACCATTTACTTAGTACTTAGTAAAGATGGAATGGAGGACTTTCTGTGTTGTGTTTTTGGGTTTTGATACGTCTCCCTCTTCACCTGATTTTCTCACTGTCATACCATTCTATGGTGTTATCAGTGCACATTCCGACCATACACATGGGCCAGGAAGCTCTGCCTGTCAGCAGGCAGCGCTCACCATTCACATCATCATGCAGGGCACAAAGTCAACCTTAGCCAGGAAAAGGAGGTTGGTTGTGGGTCAGGTGTGTGACAGGAGTGTCTTTGGCACTTTAAATATGAAATTCCTGTTTGAGGCTACAAAACAGTAACTGTTTCCTCACTTCCTTGTTTTCATTCATTCACAATTCTTGATGTGTAAGGTCATGATTTGGGCTACCGTGCTAAACAGAATGCATCAGATTCAGGCACTGGTTCGTCGTCACTCTCTGCTGCGAGTCCCCTCATACTTTATATATCACAACTAAATGTCAACAGATGGTAGTTTTACATTACAAAGCCACCATACAGCGAGACGTTTTTACAGCAGCCACATTTGACACTGAAGTCCTGAAATCTAAACAGTAGAAATGTGCTGTTTTATTACTCATTGGTGTAAAATTGTTTCTAAATGGATGGGGTCATAGTGGCTTTTAAATTGGAAATATTAATTCAATTTTTTTTACGTCCTATAGCTAAATCAAAGATCCGTGTCAGTGTGGATTGATAACGTAGAAACAGCTCTATTTATGAATGCTAACAGATTGCAAACAGGAAGTTTATTGTTTACTGAAAGACTTGCTTGAACCACTCCACATTTGATGTTCATGGCTTTTTTTAAGGGACAATGTGAGTCAGTCAGCGTTGGTTCCCTTTGGGGAATGTCTGGTCTTCCTCAGGGCTGCTGACGATGACTGAATCCTTGTTTTCTGCAGTCGCTGATGTTACTGTTGCTATATCGCTGAGTTCCACAGTGATTGATCAACACAGGAATTATTATAATGTGTCATGTTAGAAATAGAATAGAACCCAGTTTTCACCGCAGGTACCCACTGACCCATATGAATGGCAAAACTTTGCACTCTCAACACTTATAGACCCAGAATGGATGCTCACATTGAAAGAAGAAGGGACCATAGCTGGCACTTTTACACATGTGAGCTGTGAGGGATGAGACGCTGGTCTCTTCACTCACTTAGCTTTCTTCCAGCTTGGAGTTTTTAACTGCCAACCACTCTGGTACCTTTGAAAGATATTTCCTCACACGAGCTTGGCAGCAGTGTTCTCCAGGATTATCATTGAATGAAAATCCATGGCTGTGGATTATTTGTCTTTCAAGACATTTAAAAGCAGCTGACACGAAAGAGAACCAGAGTGAAGGTAGAGTGATGTTCAGAGATTCCTGTTGCAACATTGGTAGAATCACATGGCCCCCCTCATCTCGGTGTGCTTCTACTGTGATGTTGACCACGTCACCGTGCTGTTGTGTTTGTTGCTTTTGTGCTTTTTCGTTGTTTCTTCTCATCTTCATGACGCCATCTGTGCTGTCCAGCTCTGTTCCCTCTCCTCTGTCTTTGTGTAACTCTGATTTTATACAGTTGTGTAAATTCATAACCTCCAGGCTGACTGTTGTCATTTGGTAAGTGGTTGAACGGTTTCTTCCCCTCACACTCATCTAAAGCAAGCCAACACCTTTGATATTTCCTGTCATAAGCAGCTTAACCTGCACTTCCAGATGCGACTTCATATGGTACACAGCGCGCATCTTCTGTATGCCGCTGTTGTCACAGAGAAGCTGCCACCATAAAAGCCACAGTTCCTCATGCACCTAAACCTTATTTCGGTTTTCCTGTTCGTCCTGTTACCAGCCTTGCTTTTGTCATAATTTGCGTACTGAAGATAAACTAATATATTTCCGGCTTTGCTGTGTTGTACTTTTTATCAATGTTTGTTTTTTGTTTTGTTTTTATTCAACCACTACATCCTCCCCCCTTTTTTGGTTATTTTTTCCAAAGTACCTCAGAGATACCTCGAGAGGTTTGCTGCCACAAACACGCGCCACCCACCCTTTACAGATGTGAAACTCATCACAGAGCTAAGGCTCATCTCTATCCTCTTTCTCCACCTTTCCCGCTCTTTGCTAACATCCACCTGTCATGAAATGTGGAGATGACGTTAACCTCTGTTGTCGCCATTGGCTGTCTATGCTGCTCATTGACTTGTTCCTTGGACAAATTGTACTCCTCTGCTCACTTCTCTCATTCATTTTGCAACCCCCCTCTTCTTCTCTTCAGCTACTATTGAAGCTATTGAGGCTGACGAAGGTAAATGGGTCTGGCCGCCCTCTTCTGTTGCTTTTCATGGCAATAGCAAGGGGGCTCCGCTGGGTTTTCATCCATCTCGCTGGTGCTTGAATAGTGTGTTTGGGTGTTTGGGCTAACAAAATGTGGCGTAGTATTAACAGAAAAAGAAGTAAGTAAGTAAGTTAGGAAATCCTGTGGTTTTAAAGGGGAATGCATTTCATAGCACAGATTTCATAATCACAGAAGTCATACTGTGATTTTGAGTGAGAGCAATGCAAAAATATGCATGAGACACCACAACATTACATTAAGAAAGACATTTAAACGGTTATGCTTAAACAGAACATAGTGTGACTTCACCTTTTTATGTTCAGAGAAACAGTGACAGAGTCGAGTTGCACATCCACACACACACTGTCTAGTATCATCAAGTCCTCTGGCAGCTGGAACAAGCCTGTGTAGAAAACATATTGTCCTTTTAAAGCCCCTGAACACCTAGCCTTATCTTTCTGTTTACTTTTGTATGATATGACCTTCTAATCTGGCTTTAAGCGAGAATAAGGGCAATGAACGTCAAGGTTCAGCCACAAGTCAGAAGTTGGAAAATCAAAGGCAGAAAAAATCATTTCTTTTTTTATTTGTGGATATCCATATTTGAATTTCTGTAGCAGTGCTATGAAAGAGGAGCAAAGGAATTAACAGGTTCCTTCTTAGTGTAGAATATCACCAAATGATTCAGTGAAACTTGGGAAAATTCTTATTTGAATCTTTCCTGTATTATTTATTCAATCCGGAGCTGATTTAACCATGTCAGACCAGAGATTGCTTTGGGAAAAACTTTGTGAGGCAGCCATTAAAGCTACATGTGTAACAACAAATGAAAAATACAGAGTACCTTTGGCTGTATAAACCCAGGTTGAAAAATGTTTCATACTGTCCTGACTAAAGAAAAATGTCCATATCAAATATGTTTTCAGGGCCTTTAAGAGACACGTCCCACAACGTGTGGTCGATCTGAAACGGGCAAAAATATTCCTGTTAATCTTTCCTATTCATAGAGATCAGAATGGGACAATAACACAACATGGTATTAAAAAGCATGGTAAGTTCCATTTTTCAGACCCTGTGGAGGTTAGTGTACCCTTTGCGCTGCCCTCACACAACACACTGAAGTCTTGCTATGAAAGCTGTTGGTGGGTTTCCCCTTTGAAACAAGAGAAGCAGTTGTGCATTGTTGTTGCTGTTGTGTTTCTATTCTAATGTCTCCCAAGCTGAATCTGAATCGATAGACTAATGCTCCCCAGGAGTAATCTAAATTGAACTCCACCCAAAATCTGTTTCATCCACTTCGCCTTTGGCGCAAGAACAACCTCAACTGCTAGCTAAATAGTAGTATGCTGCTATTTACGTGGAAGCTATCCAGCACTTCCTCTTTAGCCCCGTAGAGGACAGTCCATTGTAGTGTCAAGACTCCTCTCTGCTTCTCTCTCCATGTGGATCCTCTGTGGCCCTGCTGTGTCGTGTTCTAGTCCTCTGAGCTGCTAATAACCTGTGTCTGACCTGTGCTATGCAGCAACACAACTACACTCCCCATCTCCCCACACTCCAATTTATCTTTTTAAGTGAAGCCCCCCGCCTCTCTCATTCTAATAAGGGTAATTTTGTTTCACGTTTTTTTTTATACAATCATTGTACCTTTCAGCAATGAGACCCTCAGTCTTTATGAGAGGTGAAAGTAAGAACATTTGAACCCCTTTTCAGGTAGAATTAACCTTCATCAAACTGAATATTGGAATGGCTGATTTACCCTTTAGTTCAGCTTAATTTGATCCGGTTTTCATTTCATCTAACTCGCACCGAGACTTCCGCCCCTTATACCTTAATTGCTGCATGCTCCAAGCAGGCTAAACAAGTCGTTAGCACCCCAAGTATTCGTAGTGTCTCTGTGCGTGAGCTCAGTCTCAAAGTGGTTCTACTTTGGTGGACGTGAATGTCTCAGTGGGCTCCACTCTAATTGTCCCCTTCCCTTTCTGTTAATGTTCTTTTTGTTTCTTTGACCATTCTCCTTCCCCTTCAGTGTACTAAGCTGTGAAGTGAAGGCGCAGTCTGGGTGTTTGGGGTCCTCAGGTCTTCAGGAGTGTCACATTTACACTTTTACAGAGTGTGGACAGTGTTTAGGATTTATGAAATGGCAGCAGAAGAAGGCCATCATGTGGCCCCGTATTTCTTCATGTAGTCCTTAAAGTACGGATCCACCATCCAGTGAAAACCTGTCGACCCCGAGGCCAGCCGCTCTCTGTATAGATTTAGAAGGATTATTTCATCCTTTTGTCTGTTCAGCTACATTCTCTGAAGCACTGATCAGTGGTGCTTTTGTGTTGTCTTCTCATAAAGATGTGTTATTTACCTTCCATAGCACATGCTCATCTGAAGCTAATCATTCAAAATGTGGAAATGAAATATAAGTCGCTAAAAAGGAAAAAAAAAAGCATTGAAACAGTTAGCATCAAAGGTTGGCGAGTTATTTTAGCATTTTGCGTTCAGCTGACAGTTCAACAGTTTGGGAATTTACTTATTTTCCTCCACAGATAGGGTCACATGAGATGGTTGAAGCCACCCTTGCAGGTTTCTTTCCAACACCAGTCTTAAATCAGCACACAATGGCTAAGTTTAGAAAAAGACGCCACAGGAGAGGTGTTTTGAATTGTTCCTGCTTTATTTCTAAAAGGATGATTAGTTTACATTAAGGTGTGATTACACATGATCACCAAGTTACCATCTATTTTCTCAATTTCCACAGTTCTACATCAGATCCGGCCCTGACCGATTGTATTCATTATGAAAAAGAAAAAAAAAGACATAAGACTCTTAGCTGTGTCAGCATGTATTTAAAAAGCAGGTACCCATTAGTCCTGTCCAGTCCAGAGTGTCCAGAGGATTCATTCAGGGGCAGCATTGGACCATGTTTCTGGTGCCATACATCCTCTAAATAGTTTTTACATTTACAGATTGCAGGTTTCTGCTGAGCTCTCCAGCACTTAAAGACTTAAAAGGGTGTCATTAATCTTCTCATTTGGCTCTACCCAAAGAAAGGTGGTTAGTGTTTTTCCCAAGCTGTTGAACTTTTCCATAAAAGCAGTCTTTCAGAATTAGCATCACACGTGTCCACACGTGTAAACGGTGCCTAACACATTCTGTTTTCATGGCTGAGCTAGCTGATGCAGCCTCGTAAAAAAAAGTTTGGTTTCTTCGTCTCTCTCCATGAACTGAAATCAAAACAAAGGCCGGCTGAGTCTGGTGATGTGCGGGTGAATGCGAGCAAGTGTGACCCCATTATCCCGATCGCTCTAAGCCTCCCCATCTGAAAGCAGCCCTCATTTCCCCCCTCCTGTCCCATTTTTTTTCTCACATCCCCAACAGCCATCAAGGGCTTCTCGCCCCAGCACAAGATCACTAGCTTCGAGGAGGCCAAGGGTCTGGACCGCATCAACGAGAGGATGCCGCCGCGGCGGGACGCGCTGCCCTCGGACGCCAGCCTCAACTCGCTCAACAAGGCGCTGTCCTCAGAGACCAACGGCACCGAGGGCAAGGGCAGCGCCAGCAGCACCAGCAACATCCAGTGAGGGCCGGCAGCAGCAGGCGCCACCTCGGCCAGCAGGGCCGCCCGGCCCCCCGCCTCACCACGGCCCGCCAGCGCAGAAAAGGGGCAACGGGTGAAGGAGTGAGACCGGGGGGAGGGTTGGAGAGCCAAAGGGGGAGGCTACTACCGCGCAAACTGGGGGACATCTCACTTGCTAGTCTTTGGAATTGCCTTCATAATTTTAGCTCATAGTCAATTCTGCTAAGTTATTTTCGGGCCACATTTCTGAGCAGTCGGGGCCCCAAACATGCCCGATTGTACTCCACACCACAGCTAATCAGAGAGGAGGGCGGAGGCTGGGGACAGACACCGGTAAAGCGATAGGTTTTCTTTCTTTTTTTTCTTGAAAGACCCTTGCTCATTTACACCGAAACGGAAAGTCGTGTAACTTCTTACTAACTATTGTACGTTTACAAAAATACAGCACTAAAAAGGACAGAACATGAGATAATGTTTTTAACATATAAGGGTGTACAAACTAAATAAGGACTATTTATTGATAACATTTTTCTTTTTTCTTTTTTTTTTTGCTACTTTTATGAAATAGCTCTGAATTGAATTAGGCAGTCTTAAAAAGAATGTTGCAATGTTGTCGAAATGCCAAATAATGGAACGTTTTATGGTTTTGTACATATGCTTTCCTCAGGTTCTTTTGGTGTGTGCTTTGACCTGATTTTTCTGTATAATGGCTAAATAACTTGGTAATGAATACCTATTTTCTTGAGTTTCATAACTGGAATTTACACATACGTATCTATCATTTGCAAATATGTTTATTTTTTGTCTCTTTTGGAAGGGGGGGGGGTAGATTTATTGTGGCTTGCTGGAACTGAGTGTTAATTTTTCTCTTTTTAAGTATTGCGAACAAAGTAAAAATAGAGAAACTATATTGTGTAAAAAAGAAAAAAGAGTACAATAAACTTAAAGTGTCTGCCTATGCATGTTTTATAAAAATCAAACAAAGGAAATAGAAAATCTGAATACATTGGCTGTGGAGGCCTGTTTTGAGATATATTGCGCTTTAGTGAACATATACTGGAAACGTATACCTGCATACTTTCAATTAACACCATGATGCTCTATGCCTTCAAGTCCTTTTGTAATTGAAGCATTTAATTATCTAAGATGGATGAGAAATCATATTTTTAACCGGCGCTTGTAAGTGCACACAGTCCATTTAAGCATGTTTGACAATTCTTGTGAGGTGTGTGGTTACATGTGGATCTCCAAAATGCATGATTAGCTGTTTGTGTCATATAACAGGTGAATAGGTTTTGTTTTGTTTTGTAAATGTGCCACAGAAAGTGTAATTTGATTCCTATTACCATTATTTGGAACTCTGCTTTGTATATCAGTTACAGGTTTGATACTGCTCAATACTTTAAGATGAAACGGGGGGGAAAAAATATACTGAGATCTTTTTTAAGAACTGCTTTAAGTGCCCAAGTAATTCACTACACAACATGAAGCCTTGCTTTTGTAATTTATCTTCAAAACTGTTGGCAGATGAGGCATGCACTTGCAACTATGAGAAGTATTTTATATAACTGTTCAATAAAAATGTGCATGAATTTCAACTCGAAATGAACCTGTGTCCTGTGTGCGTGTGAGCGAGCTGAGCAGCAGGCCTCCTCCAGCAAAGGGGCACTTATTTGGCATATGAAATACATGCTGGTTTGTGTTTCCAGTGAGAACAGGAAGCCTCGTCGTCCATAATTCAAAACCACAAGGAAAGTAAAGGCACCAACAACAGACACAATAGTCCCAATGTTCCATTCACACCTCACAGTGCAAGAGAGGTAAGAGAGAGTCTTAAAATCATCTTTATATCTCTTCCCTGTGTCTCTTGGCACAGAGATGTGCTCAGTTTGGTCGGTGTTTTTCTCATTGGTGTACCTTTCTTCTCAGCCAAACATCCAGGAGCTAGCAGCCACAGCGTTGGTGGGAAATTGCTCTTTGGCAGTTCCTCAACAAAGGTGTTTCCTCTCTATCAACCTTAGTGACTTCTTTGATTAAATTCAGAAGGCCGAGCCAAGTTTAGACAAACATACCTGCATGGACGAGCTTCCTGTAACAATAAGCCTTAAACCACATAGAAACTATTGATATATGTTTTGTTACTTATGATTAATTTACTTTAATTGACTCTGCCTGTATGTCCCAACTGAATCGACTGCAAGGTTGTTTTTTTAATTGAAAATCTTTCATTTGCATACAAATTCATTTTAAGCAGAGCAAAAGCTTTTCAAAGCCAGTATCTTTCTGTCTCAGGAGGCTTTCTTTGGTTTCTTCATTTTGTAATCAAACTCAAAGCTCAAATCAAAGGAAGTAGACTCTGGCATCCTGTTTTTTTTGTTGTTTTTTTTTTTTTTGGAGCACCAAAAAACAGGAGCAAGTCTTTTATACCTGCAGAGGGAAAAGCATGAAGGCCATGTGAGTTCACTTATTGTGAAGCTAACAATGAGCCCAGTGGAAAATTTCTTCTTCTTTTGTTTACGGTCTCGACTCCTTGTGCTGAAAGGTTCTTAGAATCTAAAGGTGTGAACTGAATAGAGAAAGGACAGGAGTAGTCTTCCAAATTACAAAAACACATCAAATCAAATTAAAATCCCACATCTTGAGCTGGTTTTTACACACTCAACGTAAAGTAGCAGTTTTTTATATTGTTATATTATGTATTAAGTGATTGAATTCGTCTTTTGAAAGTCTCTTTCCTGTAAGCAGGGGGAATATTCACCGGGCTGGGAGACTCAGAACAGCCTAAGTGCAGCACATAAGCCGTGTAGTTCAGAGACATGTGACAGTATCAAGCTGCCAAGTGAGGACAGCCCCTTCGGCTTTTATGTGACTTCATACAAACAGGTATGAGTGTGTTTTCCTCGTGTTCAATCAGTTTTAGATGTAGCACAGTCAAGTCAGTTGACTTTTACATTTCAAAAAGTTCTTTGTTTTTTGTTGGTGGACAACTATACGTAGAGCATTAAGATGAAACATTGAAATCCCTTCAACAGGAGTCTGGTACATGGCAAAACGTGGAAAAGGGTTTGGAAAGGGGCCGTGAGGGGTGCATCAGTGAGAGAAAGCGCTCACTTTATTCATCAGTACAAATCAGGCTGATTCGGTAACAGTAGCAAGTTTTTCTCTGTATTTTCTGAAGGTATTGTTCTCTAAACAGTAAAGAATAGTGAGACGTCATGGCTGGTATTTGGGCCACTCCCAGGGTTTATCATCTGATATCAGTGTTTATTGGAAGAAACAAACTGCCGTGTTGTGATGGCATCTGATTTACCCCAGTAACAGCTGCAGTAGGTATGAAATGTGCTCAAGTGTGGATTTAAGCATCGCTTACCAACTGTGAGCGTTTTTTCACCTTATACAATTACTTACATCACTAATTAATTGCTTACGTACTGTCCCCCTCCAACTCGTCAAGTTTCGCTGGAGCAGGAAAAAATAAGTGGTGGGAGTTGCCTCGAACACATTTCTGACTGAGATTATTGTTAAATGGACTCAGGTTTGCACCAAGTGGCTGCCTTGTGTTAGTCACTCCATCCACCCACTCTACGTCAGGAAGGGAAGCCAGTGTATTTCCTCCTCTTCTTATCTAAAGGAAGTGCGAAAATAAACATCAGCGGCGGAGCGCCAAGGCTGGACACCTTCTGCTCCAGCCACTGAGCTTCAGTCCGTTGGAGCAGTTGGAGGGGATCCTGACCACACATCAGCATGAGGTCCATCAGCATTCTTGTTCTCCTGCTGCCGTTGTCCCTCCGTGCCAGCACAGGTAGGACGACTGCCTTCTCCTTTCTGTTTGAAAAATAACCTTCTCAAATTGCTATAACAAGAAAGAAAAAATCACAGAACAACACTGTCCAGTTACTTGTGGAAGCAGGTTTTTTTCTGTCAGTGATTGGCCTTATTGTTGCAAACACCATCTCTTTTTGTTCGTTCTGTGACTGATTAGATTGCATGTTTTATGCCTCCTTCATTGCCTAAATGCAACTGAATTTTGTTTTGGTATGCACGAAGACAAAGATCGCAAAGATGTTCTAAAGAGGCTAATACTCTGGACCTTTCCTTTGATATATCCACCCGGAGGATATGTCTCCCTTTATCTAAGATCAGATAAGCCCCTTTAATGTGTGTTAGACATTTTCTCCTGCGTTTGCCTTCAGCTGTCCACAGCTCATTTTTTATTGAGTGATTTGGAAAATGTTGTTTGTGTTTTATTGTGTTGAACTAACACATTTGTTAAGTTTGTCAAGGAGAAATCTAAAATGCCAAAAAAAAGAAATACTAGTTTCTTGGCCAAAAAAAAAAAAAAAGACAAAGACATGGACTAGTAGTTTGTTTTTCTTTGACAAATTAAAACCTTTTAACTGTCCTGAGTCAGTCTGAGAGCAGATAGCCATTGGGAACCAGAATGCTCCCTCTGGTACACAGATTACAGACTATTGTCCTGAGACCAGGAGGTCCCAGCTGGCAACAAATTGACTTCCAGCAGTAAACATCTGGAGGAAACACCCTCTCTTAAACCGTGTCATTAAAATGTGTTGGAGCCGGCTACACAGTTCCAACTTCAGACCTGATAAGATCTGTGACATTGGACCTTTTGGACCCATCACAATAGCTGGACACCGGACTTGAAGATATTGTCCCAAATACTGACCCTTTTATTAACTCCAGGCGTTAGTGTCTTGTAAAAGAGGATTTGTGACATTGGTGACATGGCCATGTCTAAACTGGCCTACGACATATGCTCACTAATACTGAGACGGGACCCGGCCGTCTCAGAGACTCACTGTGGCGCATGCTGAATGAAGCCACAGCAGACGCTCGTGAAGACAGGAAGAATGACGAAGGTCAGGGGACAACAATTGTGTGTCTGACAGGATGCAGCTTCCCTCTCGGGGCAGAGGATGTCCAGCCCAACATGGCATAACCCCCTCGACGTCTCTCTTGACTTCTCATCCCCAGCACAACATTTGCAGCGAGAAGGTCTTTGTCTTAGACGCTGGACTTTGAAGTTGTGCCAAAGCGGAATTCTGCCAGTACGAAAGCACAAGCCCTTTATCTGCCCGATGAAAATGTCTCAGACAGACAAACTCGTGCTTGTGTGTGTTTTAAATGACTATTAAAAGCCTCATCCTCCAGTTGGGGCGGGCTGATTTAGGGTGCGGAACCAGGAAAGCACATCAGAATTTAAACACTAATAACTCATTCATGCTGGATACATGCACATATATATTTTTATTTGCTCTGAATGTCTCAACATCAAATCCACTCTCCTTTTTTAAGTTAACCACAGAGGAAAGTCAGGAGTGAGCTTCTGTAACTTTTCACACAACTGTGAAATACTTAAAGCACTTAAAGCATTTTGCTCAACTCACGTTGGTGCTTTCAAATTAAATCCTCACAGTGTGCTGTCTCAAAATCAATGTATTCACAAACCACATGTTGGAAAGGCCTAACAAGGGGTCAGAGGTCAAGACAAAGGTCTAAACATCGTCACTCTCTACCCGAAAAGTTGACGGCTGCTGGTAGGCTAGCAGGCCTTTATTGACATCACTTCTCTGCTGCCCTCTGATTCCATACACGGGTGATAACTGCAGAGAAAATGAACAAAGAAAAACTAAATCCAGAGACCTGCCATGCTCATGATTTTGATCGGCTCAAGGACACAAAGGTTATTTAGAAACATCTTTCCAAATGGATTTCATTAAAAGAAAGCCATCAGGAAGTCTTTATGGATTTTTTTCTGATTTGGCGTTTTAGAAATGTAGTCTTCTGTGACTTCTTTTTTCTAGGAATCTTTTAGGTGAAGGCAATTTTAGGTGGAATCTGCAATAAGATATCAATGTGATGTTATTACGTGACGGTGTGACGGTGGAGAAAAAGGGAAGAATGTTTCATGGTCCCCTGATTGTAACATTTCCATTTTGAATAGAAGAACAAGAACATCACCTTCTTGTTTAATCACCTCCAATAATTCCTGACTGGCCAAGATTTTTATTACTTTTACAAACGGATTTATATGTTTGTGCTTCTCGTTCCTTCATAGAATCAGTCACGGAGGCACAAACATCTAGAATGCAAACAAATGGTTCCACTGAATCTTCAGCAAAACCAACATTAGCAGTAACAGCGGTAACATCGGGGTACTCCATGGTTTCCCACAAGGCCAGTACCCCCCACCCTGACAGTAAGTACGGCCCTCAGTCTGACTGACTACACCGTTTTGTTTTAGAATCATGCTCTTCTTCTGTCTGATGTGTTCACACATCTTTTTGCTCAAAAGAATTCCTGCTGGGTGAAAAATCCTCCTGACAAACGTCATATTTTGTGGCGTTGACAGTTGGAGGCCACTCACAGTCCAAAAAGTTATATCAAATGGATAGAGCTCATATTCAGAAGATGGATTAATGCTGGGATGGTGATGTGGAACAAAAAACCATCACTTACATGGAAATGAAGGATTCAAAGAGAACCTGGTTAGAAAAACAGATCATGGCCAAACTTTCTTTCTCTTTATAGATACAACTGAAGTATCAACTGCATCTCGGGGGACAGTTTCAGCCACACCGGTATCTACAGACCTCCCCACTTCAAAACCTCCATCAACCGTTACCCAGGCTATCACTAACTGTAAGACTGTCTTTAAACCGCTTGTGGAGTTTGACTGTGTTGATGATTTGCAGCAGAATTTCCTGATATTTCACGTGTAGCTAAAAGAGTGTTATCCTTAATTCCATCTGCTACAAACCTTTTTTTTCTAAAAGGTGAAGATCAACATTCTTCCGAGTGTGGTTTGGTTATTTTCTCTTCTCTTTTCCGTAGCTACACACCAGCCTTTCCAACTTGACAGTGACACCACCAAAACAACCAAAACTCCTGGTGAGATGATTTGCTGCCTAACATTAACGTTCATTCTTCCTTTCCTCTTGACTTCTAGAATGTTCATTCATACATAAAAATGTATATGAGAAAACATGAATAAAATACAACAGTTGATGTTTCCAGAGCACATTCATTCATTCAGACACAGTCTTTGCTCTGTTGCTGAGGAACATCAATAGAGCTGTTCCTGTTTGGTTGTGTTGCGTGGTAATAACTGGATGCTTTATTTGAACATGATAGTCCTGCGTAGCACCACGATGATGGAGCCAACCAAGACCAGTGTGCAAGAAAATCAACACACCGATGCGCTTAAAATGAGTAAGTTCCTGCCTGTGATGTCCTGAATCAGACTGAACGAAGAAAAGATCACATATTCTACATTCACAGAATTCGCAGAAAACTAACTGAACCATCTGTAGTCGCTCATCTGTGTTTCCTTTTGGCCAACTCTGGGTGTGGGCATGGCAGGTGTAAAGATTTCTGTGTTAGGGTGCAAGCATTTGCAAATGAAGGAAAACTAAGAAAATATTAAGAAATTTAAGGGGAAAAAATGTAATTAAAAATGTCCCAGCAAACCATCCAGTTGTTAAAATTCTTCAGTTTGTATCAGAGTGGTACCAAAGTTACTGAACCTACACGTTTACTGTGTAATTTCATGCTTTCATCCATCTATTATCTATACACCAACTGGTGTAACGAGTATTTTAGCTTAAAATAAAAAAGATTTAAGGGAATTTTCTCTCTTGAACAGAAAGGAAAGAATAATCCTAATGTCAACATCTTAAAGTACCATTTCAACAGTTCTTCATTTCCCAAACAATCTTGATGTTCCCCCAAACTGTGATGTGTTTTCCCTTCCAACAACAGCCAAGCAAAATAAAGTTATTGCTTTAAAATCTTTTGGTAACCAGCAGAGGACACTGCCAGGAAAATGAGCTGTGAAGTAAAACACTGAGTTTTTTTTTTCGAGGAGAGCTTTATAAGAGCCTTCTGCCGCTGCCTTATTACTTTTCTGTCATTTGTTTGGATATCAAGCTCCAGCAGACATGTCAGACTACACACATGCTGACGTCTCTGTTGTTGAACTGTAGAAGCAGACAATAGGCTGTGGTGGATTGCACTCCCCGTGGCCCTGGTTGCTGTCGCTGCCGGCATCATCCACAAATTCAGAAGCAAGAAAGTGCACGACCATACAGGTACATGCACAGACCCAGAATTAAGCTCTTCCAAACCTAATGCTGGTACAGGTGAAACGGGTCATTGTTTGGTCATGTAAAAGCGCTGATCTCTCCTCTTGTTCTCTTTTCAACAGAAACCATTGATACTGGAACTGAGAAGTGAGTTTGATCATTTAATGGACAGACCCTATTTCCTGTCTATGAACTAGCTAAGAGCTGTTTGTCTCCACAGTGCATCTTTCCAGAGCAGGCCAGAAGGCTCCAAAGATGGTGTCATGCTCCTCGGCGTGAAGTCATCAGGTGGAGAGGAAAATGGTGAGCTGCCTTCCCTCTGTTTCCTGTGACAGTTCCTCCTGTTTGCACATTCTTCCAGCGTTTGGTAGAGCTGTTTCTCCAGACTCAAACTCCCAATTATTTCAGGGAAGTGGAGGGCTTTTAATATCTCATTGTACTGTATGGGCTTTAGGGGCTTTGCTGAGCAACAGAAGGTGTTTCCTGTGATTTCTCGCTCCCACCCTAAAACAAGCAGCAGGGCTTGAAAGATAGGGACTTCCTAACATAAACAGGGATTATTTTGGACAGCAGCTATTGTGCCGCCAGTAAATGTCAGCATGTCCCAGACGCTGGAGGCATGTGTGAATGCACATGCATGCACACGGGGGTGCACGTACCCCCTCATCCCGCCTATCAAAAAATTAAACATTTCAAATCTGGGCATTAAATGTCCTATCTTCTCTCCCTGCCTGTGTTCAGGCCTTGAGACCTTGGCTTAGACTTTCAAGGGGAAATGGATTACAGCTCTAGGAATTTTACTGAGGAAAAATATTTATGTTGGTCCAGACAATTGCAGCTTTTACACTTTTGAAAACATGTAGAAGTTCCTGTTCCTTCCAGTCCGTTTCTCTGATATACAGCTTTCTACAAGTCTTACATCCTTCATTGTGCTTGGCGTTGTGTGTTTCAGCTGCTGCGAGATAAGAAAAGAAAATGACGGACAGCAACGTCAGTAACGGCAGGTTTTGTGAGCTGATTTGTGAAGTACGAAGGAGTGACTCAAAAGGCTAATCCGCTCTTCCCAGCATGGACTGCAAAGTTCTTTAAATTAAAAGTGTCTCAATACCTATGGAATAAATTAAATGGATATAATGCTTTATTATCGATACAACCTTTTTCCATTGAACAGTACTGCTACATAGCCAACCTCTGTCCACTGTATGTGTTGGGCCACAAGCATGTTTCCTATAAAGTGCACTGACCACAGATCCGTCATATATTTGATGTAATAAATCACTTAATAGTTATCCTTTGGTTGTGTTGTTTCCCATCATTTATCTGCCTAACAATATGGCAGATTTCGATTATCTTTTTACTTTTGGGTGTCAGTCATTTTCTTGCTAAAGGCCTGTTTCAATGATTTTATCTTGTGAAGATTGTCCAGTGATTTTCCAGATTCAGATAACAGTGATTACTGTAATCCCCTCTTGAACTGCTTTGTGCTTCAGGGTCGGAAACACCGTCAACCTCAAATTCAATAAACCATTTTAAAACATGTCCTGAAATGGCGCCTCACTTAGTCAAAATGAAAATTATAGTCATTCATATCACAACCATAAACAAGTTATGATAATGGATTTATAAGAATATAACCTCCGTCTTTATATTTCTTACAATGTGCATGTTGGTGGAGTTTTCGGATTCACCACCAGAGGGAGCAAGCTATCAATACAAATTCATGTTTGCAGACAACTTTCATGGGGCTGAGGAGTGAGGTTTGAGCACTAAAAAGATCCTCACACCACTACGAAGTCCACTCAGCACTTATTCTTTCACACTATCCCACACATGCACCCGGAGAAGCGACTGTCTGTGGCCGATGTAAGGTGAGTCAGCTTCAACTGTGGGCACATCATTATCAGAGACACAATGAGCAGGTTGGCCAAAGGCCCATCCCACAGCACCTGAATGCTTTTCCACTTGTGGCTTTGGCTGACCTATTATCAAGATGTCACTATGGGTGGTCTGTATGCTATTTTTAACATGACGATTAAACCATATGACCAACAATATATCTATCTATATCTATCTATCTATCTATCTATCTATCTATCTATCTATCTATCTAT